CAGTTCTCCTAGAGCTTTGAAAAGCCGTTAGACTTTTAGCTGGCATCTTTCTGGCCTTAGTTTTGTCAGAAGTCATTCACAAAAGTTAGAGAAAGGGGAGATGAATAATTCTGCATTCCGAACCCTTGTCGATTGGAAGGAGTTCATACTTCGGCAGAGGGGCCTCCAAGGTGAGCCAGAAACGTGGCCAGAAACATAATGCGGGTTCAAAGAGGGTGCAAAGGCTAGCGGAAAATATTGGACAAATAAATGCTCCCGTGATGTCGTGATATTAGCGAGAACGAGGGGCAACAGATCGAACGGCTGCACAGCGCAGCTGTCGCACGTGTGCTCTGTGTGACTCAAACCTCAGCATCACTTGTGACATTTTTAATGAAGTCTGCTAGATCTGGTCACAATGCTGTGTTTAATGTATCATAAGCATTTGATTGAGGAAACTATTTTGACATTTTTATGAACGCTTTGTCGTTTCAAATGTTTGTCCAAATGCATGATCACACGTTGATGTTCGATTGCAGTTAAAAGCTGGGCAGGTGACGCGAAATGCAGATCGGACCGACGGAAACAAGACATTTCGCCAAGTACAGATGGATCTCCAAGTCCTCTCGAAGAGGCAATCGAGGTGCTGGTCGAAAAGCCTTTGCCAACGCCTGTTCGTCCAATGCGGTTAGGTCAGTTTGCGCCTGAAACACTGCCAGCCGGTGGCCTTGTAGTCCCTAGGCCGGCAGTGTTTTCGCCATCGCTGAAAAGCTTGCCCGAAGAAAGCGGTTCATGGTCGGATGTGCGTTCAGAGGAAAGCGAAGTCATGAGTAGGAAATTTTCGCGAGGAGAGATGTCGAAGTCGGACTCGCATTTGAAGGTACACGCGTTTTGCCTGCGCATTTTCGCCTTCCATCTCAGGCGTAATGGGCGTTTAGTGCGGAAAGCTGCTGACGCTGTACGAACAAGAACACTTGGGCTTAATTCCGTCAGGTGTTCAAGAAAAAGAGGAACAGAAGGTGCCGAAAAAAACAAAATTTTTCGGTTTACGGTGAGAGCAAGCAGCTCCTTTTTCTGAAAGTAGATACTGTATTAACCGTGTTTACCGTAGGAATATGGGAGTCAGCGTACCGTCGAAGCTCAGCAGCGCAACAGTAGACTCGAACGACCTCGCTGTCGGTCAGAAGTCTCTGCCAGACGTCGGCGCCAAGTCAAGAGCTCGGAAAGAGTTTCCGGTGCGGTTCGCGTTGCCGTTGGAAACATCGGCCGAATACCGCAGCGAAGCCGGTCTCGCCCGGTACGCGCACGGGGACAAGAGAACTAAGTTCAGTGCGTCGAACAATGTTAGGAAATTGAGGACGTCTTCCAGCGAGTCGTTCGAAGACACCGAGGAAACCGAAGAGGAAACGGAGGCTAGTTCTTTGTCGCCGAGTACCTCGCGGTCGCAGTCGATGGAGGTGTTGCCGGCATTCGCGGAAGCAGGTCGCCCGGAAGGGTCGGCGGAAACCGAGCCTGCCGAAAGGGGCGTCAAACTTAAGCCGATCATTAAGCATCCACGATCAACACAACGTGGAAAAAGACATGTGCCGTTCAAGCCACGGTTCATCCTGTCGGTTTCTCAGTCGTGCTCTAACGGTGACGCCGACGATGAGGGCACTCACAAACGCTACATCATTCGACAGGTGCCGTTGTCTCCGATCGTTGAACGCGTGTCCACCGCCGTGTCGTCCGACGAGGTGATGACTGCCGAATCAGGCGGTGGAACCGAGCCGTCGGTCGCACAAGATGCTGGCGCCTTCGTTGCACTCGATCGACGGTCGGAATCGATCGTAGAGATCCCCGACCTTCCAGGATCACCCGGAACCCGCCGCAGGGCTCAGTTGTTCAGCGAGGCGCGCGAGGAGTCGAAGTTCGCTAAATTTATTTTAACTTACTTCCACAATGGCCAAAAGACGAAGCCGGTCAAACGAACGATTTCGAAAGAAACGGCTATCTAGTGAAACATGAAGCAATGAAGCAACCCCTAAGCACTCTCGGAAGTCACAACTTTTCTGTTACGCAAAAATACGGCTGATTCGAAGAAACACTGGAGCCGGCACCGGGTCCGCTGCTGGTCACTGTAATTCGTAGAAACGAGTTGGCCGCCGGCGAAAGCGCTGCACTACTTCCGCCTCAAACACCGTATGGCATGTTGACTGTTGTGACGTGCCTGTCCGCTGTCGCAATTTCCACGTCACGATGCGGACCGGACGTGAGACGAAGATTCGAGCCACTGTCGTGTGAGAAAATACCTCATTGATTCACTTTGTTGAGATACAGTGTACAAAGCGTGCTAGTTCTTCGTGAAGCTTACCTCGCTAACTTGACGAGCATTCGTTTCGTATAGGGACTGTCAGTTGTACGTTCAGCATTGATGTCCGTCACTAATGACGTTTTGCGTTCATGCATCACTTATAATTATAACCATTATTACCTTAGAAAGAAAGCGCAATTACATTAGCGAAAATAATAACTTTTCGATTATATTGCCTCGCTACCGTATGCGCAACAACGGCCAGAGTACAAGCAGAGCAACGGAATCGCTGCCAATCAACCAGCATCTAAACGCTCTTTGAAACTTCCGCGCGAACTGCAAGTATTCACAAGCCAATACTGTTCACGAAACTTTTCTCGGATTTGCACCCATTTTCGAAAGAATTTCATATTTGTCGGCACACGGCCATGGGAATCTGTAGGCATTAAATGCATTGCATATGGGAAGGGGACAGGAATCGCCCAACAACACGTTTAATACTTAAACATGATTTTAATTTACGAAATAAGTTAGTACATATGCAAATCTAACTTAGTCTGGACAAATTCGGTTAGTAGATGAGTTCACATTTCACCATAATTCCAGGATATGCGCCATGTCGTGCAGGAAGGGTACGTCACTGCTCTCTGGTCCAAAGCTTGGAGACCTCTGTTGAACGTCACTTGTTTTGCTTTCGATGCATCGGGTGGTAATGTTTGATCGCAATCTGTATGTGCTTCTCTTCTTAAAGAATGGAGCGAATTAATTAGTAAATTGACTGATAGCAGCAGTTCACTGTGTGACGAAATGTTCGATGACGTGCAGGACTGAACTTGAAGTAAAAGCAAGGCAGCACAACAACAATCATATATGATAAAGTCCTTTTTAAAGTGCCCATTATAGGATTCAAAGTAGCAGGTGTTCTTTAAGCGAAGTTTTCGATGCCCTCTAAGTAATAATCTTCGACTAAAGTTTACAAATAATAGCTTATGTAAATAAGGCATAACATATCTGATTTTGAGCCAGTTCTTAAACTTGTAGTTTGTTCGCCGGTTGATCGTTGATCATCAAACAATGCGGATGATAACAGTTTACTGCCAACGGATTTTGCTACGGACACAATAGCGTCATCAGGAGGTCTGGCAGAAGTGGATGGGATCAACAAAGACTGGGCTGACACGGTGGAGTGCACTCTTCCCTGCAAACTCATTAAGCAAAGCTGAAGGAGGACTTAGAGCCGTTCTGATTGCAAAAGTATCACAAAAAACTGAAGATCACAGAAGCATCAGACAATGCAGGAGAAGGTTAGCGTAGTATCAGTCGACCATCGTGGCTTTGAAGAACGAGAATGCAATTTAGCGTGTGACAGAATTAAGATGTAGGCCATCTGTAAGACTATTTACACCCAGCTCTTTGTGTCAAAGAAACGCCCCCCCCCCACCTCTAGTGAAACAACCTGAAGGAATTGCGATCCGAGATTTCACATGCGAAGTTGGGCATGGCAAGCAGCAAAGGAAGGAGGAAAGAAGCGGTCTGGCATTGAAATGATCAGGGCATGTGGTCAGACGCTGTGTATGGCTCTGATGTCATCAAGCTAGAAAGACCAAAAACAATCGTATTTTTCAAGAAAGGCTAAAAAGAAGATCTGCAGAACTGTTACCACATCTCTCCCAGTCTACAAGCTGTTTACTAGGATTATCGCCAGCAATTATCAAGAAGTCCGGAAGAACAGCAGCCAAAAGAAAAAGCAGGATTCTGAAGGAATGACATCAAAACGGAAGACACGTTCATCTTAAGCCAACTCCTCGAGCACGCGAGGGAATTCCACCTTTCTTTGTGCAGAGCTTTTGTCGATTACGAAAGAGCATTCGACACTGTCTATCACAATGTAGTATAGACTGCACTGGCAGAACAGGACGCGAACCCCCGTTACATTAACCTATAACGAAAGCTAACGGTTGCTTTACATCACACTGTTCCACACCTCCTCCCCCGGATTCCCGTAAAGAAGGATGTGAAACAATGGGAAACAATCTGCCCCAAAACTCTTCACTACCTCTTTGAAAACAAAGTTCCGGAAGATGAACTGGAAAGGAGGGATTGACATCAGTGGTGAACGAACGGCTGAGCGACCTAATGTTCGCTGACGACATGGCGTTACTTGTGGAAAACGCCAGTCAGCTGCAAACATGCTGCCACAGCTGTTGAAAAGCAGTGCAGAAGTCGGACAACTAATCAATCGGTCCAAGACGAAGACTGCGATCAGATGCTATGTCGAGGACCCCG